TTTACTCATTTGAAGCGCCTTTTCATCCTTATCGATTTTCAGAATAGGTCCGTTTTTAGTAGATTTCCCGTCATCTCTTGTGCTCAAGAGATATCGGGGAAGCTACCTTTTTTTTTTTTTCTTTTTTAGAAAAAAACTATTTCATCATAAATGTGAATGATTTAATAAACAGAAGGAATAAAATGGTTTCGACCTTTTGGCACAAGAATCTCGAGAAGAACCACAAATCTGGAGAACTCTGTTAAAAGCTATCATCTGTTTTCACTTAGAAAGATTGGATCAACTTTTGGTACGGTTTTCAAGCGCTTTGCGAAGGTGACGCACTCTGAGATCGTCTCCACAAACCAAAAACATCAAGAAATCAGCTTCATGGCCGATATCCGAACACCGGTCATGGCTGATATCCGAACACCGGTCATGGCTGATATCCGAAAATCGGATCTCATGATTCTAACCGCTCGTCCCATACACCCATAGATATTTAAACAGGGGGATGCAAAAGTAGATATACATTAATGAAAAACAAAATATGTGTACGAAAATTACGAATTTGTTTACTTTTTGTTTTTCATTACTGCATACCTACTTTTGCACCCCCTGTGTATATGCATACATCGTGAATTTTTATCTGTAAAAATAATCTAATTAATCTTTGATGAATAAATAAAAATAGTTTTCTTCATATATCACTTTTTTCTATACATCCTCATCAATCTAATATAATTAGTATAATAAGTGACACGGGTTCTGTTTTATGCTTAAATATACACAACTAAACGAATAATAGCGTTATTATTGCTATTGCACAACGAAACAAATAATAATGTTCTTATTATAGTTGTGTAATCTGGAATTCTTGCGCGATGGCAGAGTAAAGAATTGCGATTCGGCTTAAGGAATCAGAAAGCCGAGTTCGATTTCCAGTCGAGTTTATTATATTCATTATTTACATTATTCGGACTATCGTTCTCATCGCCGTCACCATATTTATTACAATGTTTCGGCCGTTTTACGCTCCGGCCTTCCTCAGGTGGTTGGAATGTCGAACTGAACCCTTTATCTCGCTTGCTGGGGTAGACTCTTCTAGTTCCACGTGCCATGTTTTTTTTAATGGATGCCAATTATCAGATATCTCCTGTTAATTTCCCTCTGAAAGTTCTCCACTGCTTTAACTGGGTATTGAACTCACACTCTTTGGATCCTGTCACTGGACGTAACCAAAGCCTTGGGGACACTTGGCACAGTGATTACATTCACTTAGCGTTGGAAAAAGAATCCAACACTTCTCCCTTGCTATGGGTAAATAGTAGCACAGACTGGGTTCTGTAGCCTTGAGGGGCAACCAGACTAGGAGAGAGAAAACACTGAATTCCAAACTATATGAAGCTCAGATGAAGCACGTATTATACAGCTAGGTAAATATCGTTCGCATTGAGAGAGTTGATTCCTTTTGTGATTGCCAAAATCTTTTACCTTTACTATGGAGAAATATGTTTTGCAACGTATGTAAGAACCAAAAATAAAAATCAATCGCCCATTTTGAAAATCAGTAAGCGTGAAACAGCGCAATACATGGGCATATAAAACAAAAGTCCTTTTTTATGTGTATTTAAAATGCCCTTTTAAAAGAATGGTAAAAAAATTCTCTTATATATGTAAGAATAGGAGTCATATAAATAATGTCAATATGTAATGTTAAAAACTAAATGTATTCAAAATGGGCGCGTGATTATCAGTTCAGGCTTACGTTATTTTCATCGCAAAGGAAAATCCCGGGTTCGATACAAGACATTTAGACATACAAATATGGAATAGTCCATGAGAGTTTTGTCAGGGGTTGCTAGCAGAGGAGATATATAATCTACAAATGAAATGTAATTTAGGCATCTTATTTAATAGTCTGTGCTATAAGGAGAGAGTCTAAACTGCATCAAATTTTACGTCCAGGGACAATCAATATCTCCAAGATAGAACTGTATTTCTTAATGTTTTTAACACCGTTATATGGTAATGGTAATAGTATGGTTAACCGTTTCCTTATAAGGAAACATTCGGCATTCATTGACCGAACAGTTTGCGTCACTATCAATTTGAATTTATATTTGTTTTTCTTAAAAACAGTTGTCCAGTAAAATAGGTTACTCAAGACAACTGTTAATATTTCTAGTATTAAAGGGAGTTCCTAACATTTTGTTTACATTGAAGTCAATATCTTGATCATGTCATTATTTTCTCGTTTAATTACATGTGCTAACAAGATTTATTGTTGCTACTCTTGGAAGTCATCAACTGATTTTACATTTGTTATATAGTAAAGATCTTTGGTTGTAAATTTTTAGTCCCAGTGTCAGGTGAAGGATTGTCTTTTATTATCTATTCTATCTATCTATCTATCTATCTATCTATCTATATATATATATATATATATATATATATATATATATATATATATATATATATACATGTATGTATATCTATATATCTATATCTATATCTATATCTATATATATATATATAGATAGATAGATAGATAGATAGATAGATAGATAGATAGATAGATAGATAGATATAGCCATCCACAGGCGGACTGTTTCTCCGTATCACAGCTCCTCAGATAGATATATAGATTGGCATGTATACAGTCCGACATCTTTGATCCTGCACATCATGGTCCGAGGACTCCCATCGTCCGGCACTTTTTTTTAATCAACCGTCATTGGTTCGTTGAGCGGCTAAGAAATCAACGCCAAAAGAGGTTATAGAACTTTCTGTAGCAGCAGACAACAGCAGATTGTTTTCGTGGTACGGTCTTGCTCATTTCTTATATATAGCTGCATATTTAGCCATTAAGGATGTCGCTCACGAGAGAAAAATATGCCTAAGCATAAATCTTTGGTTGATTTCTATCATCCGGTATTTTGTGTGCTCCGGCAGTGTCCTTATTCCAAGTGTACAGGATTAAATGTGTCGGACAGTATTGACATAATTATTGATAAAAATGCATTGTCATATTGAACATGTGAATTGGAATAAAAATAAATGTACTTACCGTTTATAGAACACACTCGCCAGAGACCAGAATGCGTCTTCACTGTCATCTTGACCGTTAAATTTTCCGACTTCAGCTCTGTGAACTCCTCCGTATATAACCATGAATCAGTGGCAACAGCTAGGGCCAAAGTGACAAGTGCTCCGGCCCCTGCCACAAAAGACAGAAGGGTAAGTAGTAATTGATTACTCATACCGTCGGGCATGGCTTGACCAAAATTCCACTAGAGACCTGTTACTGGTATCCACTGGCCAGCACTTAAGCCGGTAAAATGTATACATAAATGGTTATATATATATATATATATATATATATATATATATATATATATATATATATATATATATATATATACTTGTTAGTAATGATATAGATGTAGCTAGATTGATCGATTTGCTTTTTACGGCTTATCAACCCTTTGTGGGTTATTTAAAGCCGATACATATTTTGGATTGTAGGAGGTCGCTTACAGTACCCGGTGCTATATAAGCAGTCCCCCATCGACGTACTGAGCGGGTCGACGCTGCTTAACGTGATCAAAAGTGAACCGGTATTTTCAGCGTGATTTGACCGTAGGCGAGATAGATAGATAGATAGATAGATAGATAGAAAGAAAGAAAGAAAGAAAGAAAGAAGTATTGTTATGAGTGTGGATATGGATAAAGTACCTTTTGGATTTTACGGATTATTAACGATGAACATAATAGGGTTACATATATATATATATATATATATATATATATATATATATATATATATATATATATATATATATATGTGTGTGTGTGTGTGTATGTGTGTGTGCGTGTATTTAGAAATGTATTTCACTGAAATTTATTTCATTTGACATTATTTTTGCATGTAGTTATTAAATTTGTGGGTACAGTCATCAGAAACCCGACACTTAATATTTCGTCATATATTTTATTTGTTGTTAACCGTATATTATGGACCCCAATCCGTGCGTACACAGTAGATTAACGAGCATACGCACACACACACATATAGAAAGATAGATAGATAGATAGATAGATAGATAGATAGATAGATAGATGGTGAAGGTATCGTTCTTAAAGATATTAAATTTTTATAGGAATATTATATATATTTATATATATATATATATATATATATATATATATTTATGTATATATATATATATATATATATGTGTGTGTGTGTGTGTGTGTGTGTGTGTGTATGTGTCTTTTTAAACTGCTGTAGTATAACAGGAAAATTGCACGCAGCGTAAAATTGGTTTGTGAATCAATTGGATGATATCGATTTAGGCTGTATTAGGAAGAGAAAAAATATATACTTGCTTGACCATAATGAAACAGTCTAAACGTAAGTAAATACGCCAATTGATTTTTTGGAAAATGAATTAGAACTTATTATAACTGATAGCTTTGTAGTTTATGTGAAATTGGTAATCGCGATTAACATTTGTAAATTTGTGTCTACAGTCTTTTCACCGTACACGTTATCAAATTCGTTATTGCTTCTTACGCAAACCAAGTCAAATCAAAGGAATTATTGGTGTATACTGAAGATGTTTATGTGCATATATATATATATATATATATATATATATATATATATATATAGTGAGAGAGAAAATGTGTGTTACTAGGCACGTTATATATAAACGTATATGTTTATATATTTATTGGCTTTAAAATTAGTATCTAATTGTTTATTGTTTTCAAAGAAATTTGCTTTTTTTTGTTCGTACTTTCTGTATTTCGATTTAAATATAATTTATATTCTATTATAAATATTTTTAAAATTAATATCGTATTTGCTTTTTATGATGATATAACTCTTCAACTACAGACTGTCGTATATCACGTATAAATGCACACGCACACACACATATATATATACATATATACATTTATATATACATGCATATATGTATATATAAATTGAAGCAAAGAGACAAGGTAGGAAAAACAAAGAGAGGGAGAGAGAAAGAGAGTAAATGAGTGAGAGAAGAAGTGACTTAGCAAAGGGAATTCACCAGTGAACAGTGAGCGTGAAGTGTTTAGAGCAGGTGCGATGAAAGAAAAAGTTTAGGGAAGAGGAAGGATTTAGTTTTAAATACGGGTGATAAAGGTGTGGTTCAAAGTTTAGGGTATTTTTCGTTATGGCCGCAAGATTTGGGAATCGGCCAAAAGATTAAAAAAAAATAATACTTTCACTTTTTAATATTGTTTCTTTTTGTTTGTTTTTTTACGCTTTATTTTCTGGTTGTGTTTATTTCTGTTCCATCTTATCTAGCAGCATTGTATCTTCGTACGGAGGGTTGTTCGCGGAGCCGTGAGTGGCAGAGAAATCTTTTAACAATTAGTAATTAATGAAGGAAAATTGATCAAGTGTCAACCGGTAAGATATGTTTATCGAGAGCAAAAAAAAAAATGAAAAAAAGCAGGTAAAGATTTCCGCTTTGGTTGAAACAAAAATTATTTATACGATGTCATTTAATGAAGCGTGTACTTTGAAGAATTTAAAAGATTTTCGGAATTTCTGTTTTGTTAAAGGTGGATTTGAAGACAACCAAATCGACTTGAAGCAACAGGTAATACGACTAATAATGACATTAAAAGAGAGAATTGTAAATAAATAAATGTCAAAATATCAAAAAAGAGATTTTAAATCATAATAAAAAGTAAATTATATACGTATATATATAAATTATACAAGTATAAAAATAAAATTTATTTAAGCAAATATGAAGTCATTTAGAAGAGATGTAAGCTTGGATAAAAACTAAAACGAACAACTGACAGAACGCTATTGGTCGTTTTCAAATGACTCAGTTGTCAAAGGGAATAGTAAAACTTGTTGAGATGTTGAGCAGAGAGAAAGAGAAATTTAACGGAATATAGACGAATAACGAACAAATCTAATTGTGTGTACTGGTGGGGGTTAATATTTCGTTATAGGCAAGACTTGGAAATTGTGTACAGAGATGATTGTCTCGGTTGAGGCACGATTGTAACGATAAGAAATAAATAACTGTTCTTTAAAAACAAGGAGATCTAAGAACGGTAGTAATAGTAGTAGTAGTAGTAATGATAATAATAATAATAATAATGTTTTTTGCTAAATGTGTTTTGATGTTATTACTTGATGACAACGCTTTTTATGGAAAATACTAACAGTATGAATAGCGTAGACCTTCTTTTAAAATAAAGGCTTAAATAATCTTTTCGCCTTTGAAAAATGAGGATAAAGGAAAGTTTTGGATCTGGAGAGAAAGCGAAAGTGAAAGTTAATTCATATTTCAATTTGCGAATGAGAGATGGCAAGAAGAAAATGCGGAAAGAATGAAAAGTGGAAAACCAAGGGATGGAGGTGTGAAGACACGATTTGGAATGGCAAAGTGTGGGGTGGGGTGAAAGCCAATAAAATCAACATACACGAGGTACATAGAATTGGAAACAGTGAAAATATACTTTTTTTTGTCGAAAGGAATAACTTAAAATGAAAAAAAAAAGAATTATTAAAATCTGCTTTTAGCGTTAAACCACGATAGAAATCACAAATCAAATTGTATATAAAAACGAGAAATGATGAAATTATCAAGCGTGCTGAGGGCGAATGCTTGTCAGTGTGTATGTTTGTGTAAAACTGCGTAAGAGACAAAAATGTGAGAGAGTTTTTCAAATTAGGAAGTATGATTAGGGAGCTAGAACAAGTGGGGAAGGTTTCCTGAGATATGTGATGAATTAATTAGTAATGTTGGTTTGGATGTATTTCTAGCTGATGAGGCTTCTAATTTACGAGCAAATTGTTGAAAAAGGAAAATGTGGAGAGAAAGAAGGAGGAAGAAGAGAGAGGAACGTTCTAATATCTCCGCCTCCCCAAATGACTGTGATGACGGCCACCAGCCGGCGCGTAAAGTCGTCCTGGCAGAGGTTGTTTCTTTATTCATACGGTTAACGAAGAACTGAGAACTAATTTGTTCATTTTTTTTTCTTCCTGGTTTTCTTCTTTTTGCATTTCTTTTTTTTTTTTTTTTTTAATAAAAAAGGGACTTATCAAAAAAGTCTGGCGTCACCATGAGAGCCAAAGCACCAACGAATCATGTACTGGTGGACCAAAAAATTAAAACAAAAGCAGTACAAAAAAATAATAGTCTCTGTACTTGCATTAATGTTTATAACAACGATAGAAACCTCAATGGAAGCGAGATAAATATTTTAGAAAGCATGGAAGGTGTCCTGGTCACAGTAGCCATAGAATTTAGAAAACGTTTACTTTATTTCGTAACAGTCGAAATAAAATTAGGAATATTTTTTTCTTCTTTATAACAATAACTTAAATTAAGGTACTTTTGTAAATCAGGATCTTTAAAACGGGTACCGATATCCTTTTGACCGTAGAGGCAGTAGTTTATAATTAATATATATATATATATATATATATATATATATATATATATATATATATATATATATATATATATATATAATATCAATTGTATTAAGAGTACTATTACGAGTTGGTCATCATCAAAATATTTGTTAAGCTCTCTTGGCAATTACGTGACTTGTAAGCAATAATCAAACTGACAATTTCACGGAAATATTCTTACTGAGTTATACAACTATCAGTACAGACATGTGCACATAGCACGTGGTTATCGGAGACGTTGAAAGTGCTTGACTGACCGCTTCGTATTGGGGTAGGATTGTTTCCTCGGTATTTACATTTAAGTTTCTGGAATCCAAAATGAAATAAAAGAGTTGTGATTAGGTTTTTAATCCTCCAGTCAACTGTTCTTCTATAAAGATTTTACAAGTATTTGGTTGAACAGGGCTCACCCTTGGAGTTTTCCTTCTTCTCCGAGCTGACTTTTTCGATAACGAAACTCAGCAAACAGGAAATTAGTCTGCAATATCAGACCTAATGTTTTAGATTGTACAACCAAATTTTGTACAGAAGTATTCGTTTAAGTTTGAATGCTGCAGAATATTTAATTCAACACTTTGGAGTGATATTAATTTTTTAGGTGGGTTTATCAATACATTTATACTCTACCCTGGGTTTTAGTGCTCTGTAAACCATTGGAACTACAGCCATAGTTTGTCTTACTAACGTAGACGCCGTAGTTAATACAGTATTTTTTTTACTTGTCGTATTAGCTATTGATGTCGTGGTGCTAATTTTGGTAGAAGTCCTGGTCGTTGTAGTAGTATTGATGGTGTCGGCTTTAGTATAATCAACCAATTCGAGCTGACGTCGTCACTGCTTGGAAGAGATAATGTTTTGTGGTTTTTTGTTTTTGCTGATGAAGAGGCACTGTTAAAAATGAAAGCGGGAGTAAAAGTAACAACGGAGTGGTAGTGTTTTGATTTTTTCTTGTCTGCTCGGTTCAAACATTCATCGCTACCATACGCTGCCTAAATGGAAGCGGCAGAAGCCGCTGCGTCCGGCAGAGCCACTGTAAACACTGCATTGAAGGGTGGTTCGATTGAGAGTAGAAGCTGTAGCAGTAGCAGTTGTAGGGTTAGTTGTTGTGGTAAGGGTAGCAGTATAAGTAGAAATGTTCGCAGTGACAGTAGGAGTAGCCAGGAAGAGTACTACAAGTAATATTAGTGCCGGGGTACTTGATAGTAACTGCAACATTGTTGGTGATGTATGTATAAGGAGCACTGGGCATAATATTTAAAGTACATATATTTTGGCCTTGTGCCAGACTAGTATAAGATAAGTAAGCATAGAGTATATATATTTTTAAAATGTTATTTTTTTTTTTAGATATTTCCAAAACATTCACGTTAAAAGTGGTTTCCGTAAAATACAAATTTTAAAAGGCCCGGGATTTCATATCATATTCATGGTAAATGAATAAGTAAATAAAAATACACATGCACACAAATTTCATTTATGTCTTCTTATTTATTTATTTTTTAATATTGTATATACTTTCTTCACTCTGACACAGTATCGATAAGGGTTAGGAAGAAGGTGTTGCGTCAAGTCTTTAAACTGGAGTTGCCCTAAATATTCTGAAAATTAGCATTCAAATAGTATTTTTCAGTGACAATGTCTGTTTAAGATATACGCAACTAATTCAGCAACCAAACTGTTATTTAATGTCTTTTATCTTCGTATTTTTTTAAAAATTATTTAGAATACATAACTTAGAAATAAGTATGTGTGTGTGTACCGCTGTTTTTTGTGGTTAATAGAAAAAAAATAGTCATCGTATATGATAAACAACAACATTAAAGATATTGATAATTTCGGAAAAGGCATGAGTCTGCCTTTTCTCGCCACCAGGGATGAGTTAAGCAATGTAGACTCATATCTCTGGTCTTGAGTAGCAGCCAGTCTATAAGAAGAACAACTTTGATTTCAAACCATGGAGGAAGGCACTGGAAAGCACACCAATACCTATTCCAAGAATATGTGGTAATTCACAGATAATAAAAAAAATATATATTTGTGGAAACCCACCTACTTTCTGAAGAGACATGACATTTTAGTAATAAATCATGTGCGCTTTTAGACAACAACTTCAAATCAACATTTGAAAAGATTTCTTCATTTTGACCAGATGAGCTCGTTTTTTCCGACTGGATTTTGTTGTTGATATTCATCACCAATATCGCCGGTTCTGGGCTGAAGGGCCGTTAGGGTTAACAGCAACCTGAAAAATTATTCTGCAGAGGAATCACCTATAATCGTCTTCTTTTGTTCTACAGACTAAGCATCGGCACCTCATGGCTAACATCTTTGCATAGACATCAATTGGCTGAGTGATTCTCAATTCAGAGTTATCCTTCTGATAGACTAGTTGACAACCATAGCTAGAGATTCCAGTCTGCCTTTGTATTTATCCCATAGCTGGGGGAAGAAGAAATTGATTCTTACACTTCAGAAGTGTATTTATGCGAAATTATACTTGTATTCGAAATCAGCACACTAATTCCTAGTTCGCCCCTGACTTTTTACAGTATCTACATATTACTGATATTAAACATATTACTGATATATTAAATTTAAACCTAACACAATAAACCCACATGGTGCAGAATAGTTTCAGAAAATCTTCCTTTCTGGGATGGTTTTCCTACCTTGAAAATCAACAAGCATCATCAAACATCGACCTATGACAACATTGTCAATCATATATATTACCTCATCCATGTGACAAACCAAAAGAAAATAGGACTCAGCATGAATCCATAAGAACTCTATATGGCAAGACGTACGAATTAAACTTAACTGGTTCACATGAAAGATCATGATACCAGGACACACAGTGTGTATCAAGATCACTAAAATACTGAATGGAACTTAGCTATGTGAATGTTAAAATGCTTTAACAGGCAGTGTAAAATATTTCCTAAATTAGTCTAGAAGAAGGTCACTAGAATGAAGGGATCAGCAAAAATAGACTTTTCTTTAAATTAGGTTTACCGGATCAACCTGATAATATCGAAATTTGGGATATATATATATATATATATATATATATATATATATATATATATATTATTATTAAAAAAACAAAAAAACAAAACCGTTGGGGAAGAAACTAATCATTTTCCAAAAGACCTAAATATCCTTAAAGAAGAAAAAAAATCTCAAAAGGACACCGAAAAAGAATAAAGATAAACTCCTACAAAGTAAAATAAAGTGCTCAAAAACCAGATTATTTATAAAATACAATAGCGGTTGACGGCGTTAAGTTCTATGAAAGGATGGCCCTAGTCGTAACCCGAGTTTCACACTCACAGACGATTTGAACGTAAACGTATTGAAGTCTCCCTCCTTCTTTCATATATATATATATATATATATATATATATATATATATATATATATACAGTTGAGATGAAAGCGAATAGAGTACAGTTCTAAGATGTGTAACATTTAATTTAAAAGTAGGCTCAATACAAATTTGAGAAATAATCTTTATGTTTGATAGTACATCGAAAACATCTCAAAACCATGTGTAATATATAAAATAAATATATATATATATATATATATATATATATATATATATATATATATAGTCAAACCTAGTGAGCCAGACAAAGCTACCCAGGTTTCACCTAAGCGGATCGTCAGGAAAGAAACGAGTATAGTTACCTATATATATATATATATATATATATATATATATATATATATTCCAGTCGAATCCATTACATTCACTTACGTGCTAATACCCTTGGGAAAGGTATGAATCCTCTCCCTCCAGCTATGGGTAAAATAGCAGGGCAGACTGGGTTCTATAGCCTTGGATGGCAACTGGTCTCGGAGAAGGACAACTTTGAATTCAAAACCTGCGGAGGGTCGTTTGGGGACCTTATGGCATGTAGTGCACCAGGTCTCTGTATTCGTCCTTCAAAAGTGTCGATGCTCCTGCACGAGGCCTTCACCACTATAATCAAATTATATATATATATATATATATATATATATATATATATATATATATATATATATAAAAGCCACGTTCAATATCATATGTATGCATCACGCCGTGAGGATCCTACTCACACTCTGCATTGTTTGGCATATTAGTTTGTAAACATCGACCAATGCGGAATATAATTTTTCACTTCAGCCTGGCACAACGCCACACATTTGGAGCATCTAATGATGATCAAATTGATTACATTATTCTGGCAGATGAGACTGCTAAGTATATGCTCTGACTCATATAACAATTGTCTCTAACTTTTGCTAAATCATGAGGTTGACAGCAGTTGAGTGATACAAACATATTTCTAGTTATATTTTTTACATTTTGTTGACATTCTATATTTGCAGTGTCAACAATCAAAACCTATATGCAGTTATTTAAGACATTTAAAACGCAAAGACTGAAATCATCAGAACTGCATCCAAAACAGGTATTTAAATGGCATTTTTGATTTAATTTCCTTTTAATTTTTTTGAAAATGTTTT